ACATGGCATTATCATTGAAAATGTTTATGCTGCGGCTTGCTACTGCTTTATCGGGGTGATATCGTTCCACGAAACTTTGCACCTCACCCCATTTTGCACAAATTTCACGGATCAAAGAAGTAGCAAGATCAGAGACACGAACACCATTTTCATGTTTGGCTATGATTTCTTTCTTAACATCTATCATGATATTGGTATTTTTCCTTTCCACTTTGCTGCTATCATTGTCTTTCTTTGGCCCCATGCTAGATCATTCTTCTACGAATACTGCCGACGCTGATACTCCCAGTTTATCGCTCCACGATGTTGACGGCTTGCGTGTTTGTAACTCGAGACACAGTACGTAATCCGAGACGCTTTGTATTCGGAAAATTTGTTCGTAAACTGAATTGTTTGTGATCTGAGGCGTTCGTGAACTGAGGTTTGACTGTATAATACTGATACACCATTGTCAAAAATCTTTAGAATTATATTTGTTTGTTTCATTGGTGTGTTCAACTAAATATAATCAGTTATCCAACTTTGTTTTTCCCTGATTCATAAACAGTGAGTAAACTCAAGTTTTGTCATTTCCTGTTCTTGCTTTTATGTCAACATGCCATGTGTAATTGAAAAAGGTACAGAATTATAGAGAGACTCATGGTCAAAATTTTTTGTTTTTTAAAACATTCTTTTTTTTCTGTTCACCATATTTCAGTATGTCAAACAAGATTTAAAAGGTGTACTCTTCGGAGTACAATGAAATTTAAAGGTATTCTTCACTCCACATCATAGGCTATGTCACCAACAGGGTGCCAAAGGAAAAAATAACAAATGCAACACTGATACCAAAGGCAGCAGTGCTCTGCAGTGTTATTTATAATGTTTATTATTCAATTAGGATATAGGTATAAGATGCTCCATGAAGACGGTGCCAAACTTCGGGTGGTTATACATTGATTTATTTTTTGGTGAAAAATGTATTTTTGTATTTGTCAGAGTCTCAACCATTACATACTCATCAATTGTGATAGATGGAAAGGGAGAAAGCTGAAAGAAACACATAGATTAGGTTTTCTTTGAAATTATCTTAATTTAAGAAATTAATTAGATACATAAGAATGGTATTCTGCTCGTGTTTAACATAAACTGTGACACAATCTTCATACTTACTTGGCTTTCTGTTTAAAATTATCTTCTGCACTGGCTGTACACTAGTATGCTTATTTAAACCAGTATAAATTGCTTTCAGATGCTTTCTTAGTTTTGTATGAGAGCAGCACTATTTTGCACTGTAGACGTTCATGTCATATCTGTGATTTCTGGAAAACAGGATTCCCTTGTGTGCCGACCGTTTCATGGGGCATTCTATATATTAACATATGCATAAAATTAACTCTGCTTTCTTGTTTGTAGAACTATAAAAGACTCTTCAAGAGGTGAACAGGAAAACAAGGGCCACTCTAATAGCTGTACTGATTCCAGTGGTGTTAGTTCGTGTGACTCAGGGCTTGCACACACCGGGAAGCTTGGAGGAGTTCATGAGCAGACCCTGAGCCCAATTCCAAGTTCAACTTCTCTCAACACTCTTAAATCAGGAGCTGTTACTGAGCAGTCTAAGGGAAGTCAAGTTACATACAAGAAATTTTCACCCATCCATGGTAAGCAAATTGCATGATTTACACCAATTGTTGAAACATTCAAACGTATTTCAGAGCTGCATAACTTTACACCAATTGTTGAAACATTCAAACATATTTCAGAGCTGCGTAAATTCTGTGATGCTCGTTGAACTTTGTCTTCTATGATATTTAATATATAATTCTGGATTTTACTTTTTCAGTCCTGCAAAATATGTGGATCAGAGATATGAACTTTCTATTTTAAATCAGTTCTAAAGTGTATTGCCATCTGGACTATGTCCAGTGTCTGGTATTCTAGAAACACACATTTTTGAAAAGTGGATTTATTTTTGCCCTCAGGTCTAAGGAAGGGGGCACTTATTATCTCCCATTGACAGAATCTGGTCTCAGGTGCTTACACACTTGTAGTAGTTCTTACTTAGGTTGTGTGCATGTGTTAGAGCTTCTGTTACAGGAGAAATAGCAGTCAATTTGTAAATGAATACCAGAATATTCAAAGGAAATCAAAGTTTGAAAATTGGGAATGGCATCTTAGTGTATAGCTTGGAAATCCAGATCTGAATTTCTGTAAGACTGAAAATTTTATTTTTCCTTTTTTGAGTACTTGCATGAATTCACTTCCAAATTATAATTTGGAATTCACTTCTAAGTTGTAACTTGCAGATCTTAATTTACCCTCTCCTTTCCACATTCCATTAGCTTTCTAGTACAGAGTAAATTATTAGCATAGTGAAGATGAAGTATGTGCCATTTTCATGTGTGTAGTATTCACATTTTTGTGTGAAGGGAAATGCATTGTGTTCTTACTTTCTATCCAGGAGTTGAACCTATGTTATGATTTATAAAACCTCTACAATATAGTATATTGTCACCTGAATTTGATTGAGAAGCCAGGAAATGACGCTAGTATTAATTTTTTGTAGGGGGATTTTAATTAAAATTAAATCTTACCCACCTTTCAAATTGTGTATTGCAGGTAGTGTAAATTCAGGTCTCATTTCTCCTGATACATCAAGCTCTTGTCTAAGCCAGCAGGATGTACTTGGCTATGCAACATTACGCTCTTTGCATCGGTATCGTCGACCTTTGTATTCTGACACTGTCTCTCTGGCTGCCATGGAATTACTTATGTTTGATGAACACAGACATATCACATCTTCTAGTCGCTCAGCATCTGTTAGCCGAGCTTTAAAAGTGCGCAGTCTTGACAGACAGTATGTACATCCAGGGTGAGTAATAACCATGTGATGAAAAATATTATGTTGTAACAGTGGATGAATACTTTTTGAGGGGGGACTTGGAAATAACTCACTTGGAAGAACAGGAAGGAAATGAGTGAACAGCATTTGGATGGATTGACCTGGCTCAGGATTTTCTCTGCTGGTAGGCTTTGGTTCTGGTGTTTCTAAGTTTTCTGTCTTTTCTACCCTAGTGCATTTTATTATTTCAACAGTTGAATTTAAGCAGCTAGTTTTCTAGTATGAGCCGGGATAGCTCAGTCAGTATAGTGACTAGCTATGGGCTCAATGACTGGGGTTCGATCCCCGACGGAAGTAGAGGATTTTTCCTCTAGTCTCGTGTGTCCAGACTGGCTCTGGGGTCCACCCAGTCTCCTGTCCAATGGGTACGGGGGTCCTTTCCAGGGAATACAGTGAGGCCGGGGTGTGATGCTGACCACTCACCCCAAGTGCCTGCATAGGCATGTAGTGGGATGTCAAAAATAAAAGTTTTTTCTAGTGACTTTACCATCCACTGAAGAATAATAAACATACTTTTCCTACCTTTTAACACACATGAAAGTGTTCTCCAGGTTTTGATGGAAGTTGAAAGACTGCAGCTGGGTGGGTTGCAAAGTTTGCTTACTCTTTTGCTGATACTGTAGAATGCAGTAAGCTAAATTAGTGCCTCCCACAGTATAGTGTATGGTATTTGGTCTTACCTGGTTTTAATACATCATTCTAGCTCTGTGGCAAACTGTTTGATATCTTTTATTTTCTGCAACGGTGGTAATGATGTATTCTCATAATTTTTGGATACTTTAGAATCAGCTGACAGGTCCCATAGCCTATCCCAACAATGTCGCACAAGTCGTTGATGGTACGACGTCGATCTTTGTGAATGGCCTGCCGAATGTTCGTAACATTTTCGGGCGTTGTGCTCGAAGATGGTCGTCCAGAACGCTCATCATCATCGACAGAGGTTCGGCCATTTTTAAAACGTGAATGCCACACAAAAGTTTGTGCACGACCCATTGCGGACTCCCCAAATGCTTGCTTTAGCATTTCATAGGTTTCCGTAGCCATTTTGGCGAGTCTTTTGGCAAAATCTGATGCACACTCTTTGTTCATGAAAATCCGCCATTCCGAAATCGCAGGAGGGTCGGTGTAATGCACTACCAAAATGCCCGTAACTAAGAAACAAATGCTAATTCGATGATGCCGGCTGGCACACTGATTCACTATGAATGTAGGCCGCACCACCTAGCGGCAGAAGCTCGTACTACATCCGGTTCGCCCTCTATTGACACAGTCTTGAAACTTTCCGATCGCACATCGTATGATTCTGTCAGACCAGAGGTGATTTTGCTGTTCTTCGGTCAAGCCAGGTTTGTTACAGTGATGTTTGTGAGATAAATTAAAATGTTTTAATTCTATTCTAGCATGTGTGAGTTTGAAGCAAGCCTTCCTCCACAGCTGCTAAGTGGAGCAAGTTCCGTTTCTCTGGCTGCTCGAACATACATTGGCAGTAGATCCAACCTTGTGGCAGCCAGACACTCAGGTGAGCCAGTTTTGTACCTGGAGGGCATTAATTACTTGACTAAAGTGTAGCACTTATTTTGCAGCTGTGTGTAATGGGCTCTTTAGAACATGGTAATTAATCTCTGGATTCTGTAAAGTACGAGTCTATTGACTAGGTGTGTGATGTATTAGCTTCTCAAAAAGGGCTTTGCTCCATGGAGTTTGTTAACAGGTGTTGTCTAACAATGCAACTCTCTTCTAATTAACACATTACTGTATTTATGTGGATATAAACTGCTCATTTTCCCCCCAAATTTGTAGCCGATAAATTGAGAGTGTGACTTATCAGAATTATTTTAATGGCAAGATAATCTGTCTGTATCATGGTTGATTATGAAGGGTTGCATTATGATTTTCAACACAGTGAAACACTGCAAAATATTTTAGTGATAGTAAAAATATGTAAACAGTTCTTTCACAGAAGAATGGGAGAATAAATATCCCTTAGGACTTTTATTTCTTGCCCATGTCAGCTGCATTTATTTATTTATAGTTTATTTAACGATGTTTTTTCAATAGCTTAGACTATATAACATCGATTCTCAGCTGTATTTTACCTGTGTGTTATCCCCAAGAAGATGAAGTGCCACAAGGATCTATTTTAAGTATGAGCCTCTTTGCATTTGCCACCAGTGGAATGGCAAACAGTAGACCAATCTGTCTCAGCATTATGGTTGATGCGCCATTTCTACAGTTCCCAGAGCATTGAGGTCGTTGAATACTGGTTACAGCTCGCTATAAATCATTTGTTATGCTGGGTTGTTGAGAATGGATTTTTCTTTGCGGTCAAGACCCAATGCATACACTTTACAGGCCTGCAGGATTGATATCCTCACCTTAGCATATTTCTGAAAAATAGTATTCTATTATTTGTTCTGTCGTTTCTTGGTGTTGGAACTACTTTGCAGAAGTAGTATAAGATAACTTGTGATGTGATGGGAGGAACAGTTGATATGGTGCTAAAAAATTTTTTTTATGAGGAATAAGGCATGTAATGTGAAAAGTAGGCCTAATGTTAATGTGTACTCTGCTATACATACTTTATAAGCTTTCAGTTTTGCGTTTGTTACATGTACCACCACTTTCTGTTCAAGGACTTGTAACTGAAAGCAGTTCCACACAGCAGTGTTACATGGGGATCTGTCTGCCTCGAGAACTGGCATCATTGTATCCAAGAGATGATCCAGCAACAAGATCTGCAGAGGAAAAAGGGAGAGATTATCAGAGAGGTAGCTCAGAGAGACAAAGATCCACATCACTTGGAGAAATGGAGGATTTGCAGGAAGCAGGTTTGGTTTGAAGTTACAAAAAAATTAAAATTTAAAATCTGAATTTCTGCTATGGAAATTAAAATTGAAATTTAATTTTGTTTTCATACTTGCAAATGCAAGTTTGACCTGCTTTATTGGGTTTGGTAGTTCTGCTCCAGAGCTGTAGTAAGTTCAGTTAATATGTAGTCATTTTGCAGGGGAAGAAGATATTGATACCAGCTTCAGCTCAGATTCTGAAGACTTTGAAAGCCAAATGAAGACTAATCACAGTGCTGCTGCTGCTGCTGCTTCAGATTACCGCCACAGTTCTGCTAACTGCTTGGCATGCTGCCGATTAAGGGACAGAAAAATTTCAGCTAGCTCATACCACCGTTACAGAACCGGTAATTCTTTAATTAACTATTATGGGCACAATAGGTCCATCACACAGAAGAATAAAATGTTTGGATGGAACAGGTCTGTAAAATGTATAGCATACTCTAATGTTAAATTTTCTTGGCTGTGAACAGAAGCATTCATAATTTATGTAACCTACAGTCTTTGAAAAGGTATCAAGTACTTATAGGATGTTTGAGAAAGAAGTCTGGGATTCCAGTTGTAAATATTTATTACACTAACACAGAATTTTGCATGTGATGAAAACTGCTAGGGAAACTCATTAAGTTTTAGTGTCATTCAGTCAGTTTGATGTGAGCAATGTTCACTTCAGGCATTGTAACAATATTCCAGCATATCTGGAAGTACAGCAGTGACAGCTATTGTAGTCCACTGTTACAAGTTGGCAACACACTGCACTTTTTTCCTGTAGACAGTGTATTTTATGAAGCTCCAGAAGAAAAAATCCATGGGTGTTGTGTAAGGATTCTGTGGAAGTCACGAGATCGGCCCTGCCCTGCCGATCCATCAACCAGGAAATTGTACATGAAGAACAGTATCACTGTTGTACTTCTGCTGGATATGTTGGCTCGGGTGTGGACTGAAATGTAATATTTTTATATCTGTGGGGCACTCAGTGGTGTTCACATTGAATTGCACTGAATGACACTAGAATTTGACGAGTTTCCCAGTAGTTTCCATGACATGCAACATTCTGTATTGATGCAGTAAATAAATATTTATAACTGAAACTTTGGAGTTCTTTCTCAGACATCCTGCATTAATGTTATGCTTCTGTCACTAAGCTGCCAATAGTATTATAACTTCCGTGGAAGAAAATACTATTTAAACTTCATCAAGTAGAACGTTTTTGCTGATTTATAAGATTTGAGATTTTCATGACATTGAAAATGTGTAGTGTGGTATTCTGGTTTATGATACTGTGAGAATGAAACCAATATATTCCTCCAAAATGTTGGTAACCACCTACAAATTGTACCATGAAATTTCATTATATCATGCTGTAGTAAGGTTCTGCCATACCAAAACATAAATTTTATGTAAAATGTTTACAGATCATTGTTTTTATTTTTATATTTCTTTAAGCCTTTGGCTGTGCATTACGTCTTCACTGCATTCCTGAAAGAAAGTAATTTTAAGATTAGGTTGTTATGATAGTTGGGTCACTATGTGTGTGTGTGTGTGTATATATATATATATAATAACAATAAACCACAAATAAATAAACAGTAACAATTAAGCCATGTTGCCAATGTCATTTTACAAGATAAGGGAGATTGATAAGACCCTTTTTGAAAAGGTAACAAAGTATCAGTTATGGCACTTTAGAAGTTGTATTTTTTACACAGTTGCAGAAAATAAAGAAAGGGCTTGTTACATTGAAAATAGTTATTACAACTGAAAAATATTTTTTGGGCCATACTTTTCCAACAGACTTACTATAATATTTATCAATTCCAACTTCTTAACAAGGTAGAGGGGAGAGAGAGAGAGAGCGAGAGAGAAATATTCTGTGTTCAGAGATGCAGAAAGTAGGACATCTGTTTTAGCAAAAATGGTTGCTGTTCTTTACAGACACGGAAAGCAGTTATGGTGGTGGGGAATCCCCAGTACTATTGCCAAGGCGACGCAAGTCTAATAGTGCTAGCAGCTGTTTGCTGGGACTTACTCCAGGTGGCAGTGTGGAAAGTGGGAATAGTACTAGTCTGGATATTGGTATGTTGTTATGGTTTTGCTTGCATTATTTATAGAACTTATGGCTTAAATTTAGAAGCTATGATTTCATGATGCATACTTTTACAGCCAGTGTCTGTTATGTGGTCTTTGTTTTAGACTTCAACTGTGCTGATCAGAGGTAATCTGAAGGCAACCTGTAAATACCTGTTTGCAGGCATTTCTGGACATTCTTCCTGAAGCTTGTTTTCATCAAATCAAGTTTCAGGAACTCTGTCTCTGAACTAATATATGCAATATGAACGTGTTTGTATGAGATTTTGTATGATGTGAAATTATAATTTCTCTTGTAACATACTTGCTTCCATTCTTTCATGTTTTGTGTCACTTGCATAAAGACGGATACAACATTTTAGTATAATTATTTCTTTCTGTATCAGGTCCTTGCCATCAGCGTGTGTCTGAAGAAGTGGGAACACCGAGTAAAGCTTTAATCCGTCGTGAGATTTTGAAGCATGTGATGCGTATGAGTAATCCTGTATGGATTAAAGTGTCTAAGCAAGTACTTCTTCAGTAAGTGTTAACCCTGTGGTGGCATCTGTCAGTGATTATTACCAACCATTATCTAAAGGTCTTTGAAATCCAACATGTTGTTTTAAATGCCATAATAATAGACAGTTTGTGAAAAATGGTTGTTGGTACATAGTTTTGTTTATATTGATACCTCACTGAATGACATACAAATGCATGTTGCATTCAGTTGTAATGTTACGGTATTGTCGGAGGAAAGACTATTCTGTTGAGGAAAGTGACTTATTGAGGTGCCTAGTAAATTAAGTAGAATTTGAGGTTCTTATGGTGGGGGAAAAAAGATAGCAGTCTTCTGGGTTGTAGTGTCATCTACTCTGGTAGAAGTTCACCAACATTTTAGAGGTCCTTGCTGCCTCCATCTTTGAGGCAATCCTTTTCACTCTTATGATTTAGTCAGCAGCGACGTCTGAAACAATGGTGAACCACCAGACTACACAGTGCAACAACCCAGAAGACAGCCATGGTGATATTAATTTGTTAGTCAAAAACATGAATACCACACTATAAAAGAAACATTATATGTCTCTTAAATAAACTGGTAAGATTGAAATAAATTTAGAAAATCAGTTTTGTCCTTGTTCTTGTCATGTATGTAAGATGCAAAAGAAGTTCATGATGTTAGAAGATGTGTTGAGAAATTCTTTGATAATGTGGCAGGATTAAAATACTTTGGAATGCCAGGTGTGAAAGAAAGACATGACCATTCTGAAATGAAGAGATTAATTAACTAATTTTAAATTCTTGTTGTATTCTGTACTGTACTGCTTTTCTGTTTTGTGTTAGACTGAAGCAGCAGTATCCAGCAGTGTTTCAAGATGTGTGCCTTTATTCTGAGGTTTCCCATCGAATAGGCTCAGCGACTTACAGACTTTCAGCAAGGAGATTTCTTCAAGAACTGTTTCTGGATCTGCAGTTTGATGCTGTGAGTAATGGATTCCAAACACAGACTCCAGACACTTTAAGTTCATTCTGATTTTTCTCATATCATGTGTTCTCATAATGTAGTTATTGCCATCAGTATATGAAAGTAAACATTCACATTTATTCTTGAGTGTTTTCACCTATCAGTTGACATCAAAAATTAAGTGAATCACTTGAAAAGCAAGTGATAACTTTTTGGTGGTTCCTGACACAGACTTCCAAATAAAGTGAATAGTGTATCATCTTATTTGCTTGAATCTAGGACAATGTTTACCTTAAAAGTATCTTATATAAAGGTTCGTTCTTTGTGAGTACTACAGTAGGACTATTTTCATCAAAGTACTGTGCGTATGGTAGTTTAATTGTATAGGGTAATAATACTTTGTTTTCAGGCATGATGCTTCAAGGTATCAGTTTTGCGCTCCCCCTCTGCAAAGTTTCCATATGGTAAATGGGACCTGTGCTACATTATAATGATAAAGGTTGTCCCTGTAATTTAGATCATAATATAGAGGCTTCACTATGATTGGTTTAATGAAAAATGATTATTTAAATGTTCCAGCAATTAGAGAGTTTTATTAGGATGCATGTTGTTTGCAGCCCATTGGTATTGTGCATTGTGAGTTGTCATGTACAAAGGTGTTTGTGATTCTTATATTTTACAGCTGTATGAGGAACCAGCAGCCATCTTGCAGATCCAACAATCTGTAGCAGAGGGCACTAATGCTGCTGCAGCAGCAGCTTCTCCACAAAGTACCGGCCATAGTTCCACCACATCATCATCACCAAACATGACAAATGTGTCCACCAATCAGGACATTGTAGATGGGCTTTTATTACATAACTTACCACATCCACATGGCAGTGTGATAAATGTGGAACAGTCTCTGAGTCCTACTGGGAACCTATCAGAGGTCACCTCTGGTAAAATTCCGTGTCAGGAGTGTCTCATTACTAATGAAGAGAAACCATCTGAATCAGAAAATACAACCTATAAATTTGGTTTGAACACAAGGACTGTCTCCTTGGATATAGTTCCTCCCTGCAAAGTTTTGGTGCTACAAGGTGTGTATGCAGTTAGGTCTCCCCCATTAGAAGTTGTAAAAGAAGAATCTGTAGCAACAGTTTCACATTTAGACTCATTGTCCAAAACAGATACCACTGAGAGTGACCTTGTTCCAGATAATTGTCCTGTAGGAAACTCATCAGAACAGTTGTATGGTGTTTTCAACCCCGTAATTGTTAGTGCTAGAAATGAAATTTTGATCTCAGCAGCACAAGATGCCAATAGTAATTGTAACAATTCATTATCATTTAGGCCTGCCTCTCAGCTAACTGCTGTTATGAATCAAAGTTTGTCTGACTCCACAGAAGATACTAAGCCACATACACTTGATTACAGTGTTAAGGATATTCCATCTCCTGCAATATTGTCTGAACAAAGACCACAAGTTTACCCTAAAGAATCTGTTGATCCTTTCATTGACAGTCAACATAAGACAAATTGTGAACAGTCTGTTGTTTTCTCATTTATGATAGGAGAAGAAGAGAAAGAAGCAGCAGTAGGACGTTGTGTCACTTTACTAGATAGTGAAAAAGTTGGCAGCTGTGATTTACTAGTCGCTGAGAGTAAATGTCAGGAATTAGTTAACCTTAATTTGCCAACTCAGAACATGTTCACAGTTTCTCAGGTAACAAGTGGCAGTGGAGTGAATGTAATCTCATCAGTGAGCAGTCCTCTACTTTCAAGTGCAGTGTCTGGTTCAGTGATTAAGAACAGCGTGCAGAAGGTACCAGAAACCCAAAATAAACATATAGGTGAATCAGCCACACATGTTGAAAGGAGAACTGTGAATTGCCTGTCTCAGACAGCATCATATCCAAATACTCTGAGCATGACAAACAGCAGACTAAAGTATAAATCAGTATTAATGGACAGTTCTGACCTTTTGCTGGCAAATAGGCCAAAGCCAGAAACATACAGCAAGGCTACAGAGAGTAGTCCATGTGTGAAAGCAGTTGTGGTGCACGAAGTTAGTTTGCCAGAGCTGTCTGTTCCATGTCAGACACAAGCATCAATGCCTTCTCAGGGTCAATCAGCATCTGCCAGTGATGAGGTTATACAAGTCAATAAAAATAGTCACATGGGTGGCTTGTCTTTGCTCAGTAGCGGTGCTAAAGGATCCCAGAATAAGCAGACATTATGTAAAAGTTTGAATGAAGACCCAACTGCTAGTTTCAAAAAGTTTCCAGAGGAGAAATCTTCCATTATTGCAGTTCCTACCAAAGCTGTTGTGATTGGTACTAGGCAAAGAAAGTTGGCTACTACCTGTCCTCCAAACATATCATCACTCACTAAAACTGTTGGTAAGACAGTTCCTTCTAATGCAGATAGCAAGAAGACACAATACAGTGAAAGTTCATGCACATCTGGTAGTTCCAATTTCATAAAAGGAGAAACTGTTAAAATGAAATCAAAGCTAAAAAAATGATTGTCACATATGTTAAGGTATTAAGTGTATTAATTGCAAGCAAGGTATTTAATTTTATGTCAAATGCCTGAAATGTAAATATATTCAGTGTTTATTTTATATAATGTGATGTGACTGCTGATTGTGTTGGTCATATAGGTTGTGAAGTTCCTTTTCTTCCCACTCACCTGAACTACCAAACAACGCATTCATCTGATCATCTGTCACGCATTATCTTTGAACCAATATTAAATGGATCAACCATAATAATAGTTTCAATTATTTGTGTTTTTATTAAGTTTTCCTTTCCATTAATAGCTCAATGAAGAATCTTGTTGGTTGTCTTGTGATGCCAGTGTTGGACCTTCAGGTTCTATAATATGTAATTAATTTAACTGTTACTTAATTCTAATTTAATCCTGATTTAAATTTAACAAACTGCAATGAATTTATCCTTCAGCCTAGGTCAATACCTAATTCACTCTGCTAAAACAACCACATATGTAGTGGTAACCCACATTGAATGCATACTTTCTCATGTGTATGATAGCTACCAATGAATGAGATGGTTACTTTCAGCAATGGTAAAGGCAAGAAGCTCCTCTTACATGTTTACATAAGGATTAACTAAAATGGAATGAATATCACCCATGCTGTTCAAATTACTCAGAAAAGAAAGCACAGGGAGGGGAGGTAATAATCTGTAATTCCTGAAGTGTCTTATATTAGAAATGGATGACACAGGTGAAAAAATATAAGCAGCCCATTATGAAGTAAGTTTTTATAAATTATCTATAATAGTTTATGGTAACTGAAGTAACTTATGAGGACTGCTACAAACAAAAGATGGGTACAGGTAGAACCATGTGATAACTCAAGTTTATACTTTGTTCCAGGTATTTGGAGTTATCTGGACATTCTTCCTCAAAAATTGCTGTGTATTTTCTGGTGCCCTTGTAAACTATGAGCAGTTCAACAGAATTGTCACAGGTGTTCTAAAAGAAATAGGATGTGTGGAGTGGACTGGATTCATTTGATTTTGGATAGAGACCAGTAGTGGGATTATGTGAGCGTGGTAATAAGCCTAATGGTCTATAGAAGGCAGGAATTTTTTTATTTATTGAGCAGTTACTGAAAGGATTTCACTCATGGAGGTGATTGATGAGATGAGACGAATATCTTATCTGAAATTTCTGTCTTACAAAATATTTTTTGCATTCTGAGCAAAAGATAAGGTGATGTTAGAGGTCTTTAACGACCATGATATTGTGCAGGGCAAGTACTTCTGTCAACAAGCACCATGTTGCTTGCTTTATCTGAAATTAATACGTAACTTATGCTTCATCCTTGCAACGTTAGGTCATATTTCTTACACATACAAAGAACATTGGTAAAATTAGTGTTTTATACTTTATATATATATATTTCCCCACTATTTAAATGAGTTTTTATTTCCAATGTCAGTGCACAGTATTGTGTATAGATTTATAGGTCAATTTATCAATAAGGTATACATTTACTGATTCATCATAAAGTACAATCAGCCATGTGGGATCAGAATGCCATGTTTTAATTTATTTCACTGAGCATAATTAGCTCATGCCAGGATATTAACCAATATCAATTTCCTGTATGCACTATTTTGCCTGCAGCAATTCAACCTACACCGCTTCTACATTTATTTTACCTTTAAGCCATACCAGCTATGTTCCAATTGACAAAACTAAAACCTATGTTCAACTGGACAAAACTGTATCCTTGTGTAATTGTAATCTTGCCCGCATTTTCCATGGGGCCATTGAAAACTAATACACGTGTGAAATAGAGTAGGTTAACCCCTTCAAGATCAGTGGCAACTGTAAGTCCCACATACTTCAACAATCAAACTCAGCATTTTGTATTTATGTTTTTTGTATGATTCTCGGTGTAAATAACGACTGTTTTCTTAAACAGTATTAACCATTTATCTTTGTAATGTAGAAGTGTTGCGTGTTAGTTGTAGTACGGACTGAATTCTTCACTATTATTCAACGAACCTTGGCTTCAAAGGGTCGAAAAATGACGTAGATGAAGATGGTGTTGGTAAATAACATGTAAAATTGCAGTAAGTGAACAATCATGGAACCAATAGTATGTTTCACTTTCCAAATTAACAAATTTTAATAAAATGTTATGAGGACTCTCCAGTCAGGTTAAGTGTCAGTATGGTCCAGATGGGTTTGTTAAATTAGCTGTAATACTTGAAACTGACACTACCCTTTAAAATACTCTTAAAAATGACTCGTCATACAAAAGATCAGCTCATGACACATATTAATCTGTTTACAACTGATAAACTTTTATCTGAAATATTCGAAATGCATGTAGATTACGGTTTATCTCATCCGTCCAGACCTAAACTTTAATCACACTTAAAAGATCTCCCGAATATAGAGTTAAAGATATGTAGAAGTTTTCCAAATAGCTCATCCAAAAATTATAAACCAGTGGGAAAACGAAATCAGAAAATAAAGGAAATAAGCGTTAAGACTTACTCAGATTACAACAAAAGTAATACCTCGTTTAACGCTTGCACCTTACAATTTTCATTCTTATAAAGAAGGCACTTTGTTCCTGGACCAGTTTCACTGTAAAAAAGTAACTTGAACATATTGGTATTAAGAGGTGGTTACTTTCATTTTCAAGTGTTGGTAGAGGATGGAACGAAAATTTGTTCATCATTGGTTGTCCCTTGAAGTACCTCCGCCCACGAATGTGGAGGGATTTCAAAGCCACTTGACAGTAATTTGTACTGCTGCAACCTTCGGGACGTGTTATGAAATAGGAGACAGCGTGACTGGCAAAATGTTACATATTTATATAAGATTTCTTGTTACATATTCACATTCTGCTGCATCACAGTTACGAAAGAAGTGTGCCAAGGTTTGATCTTCCACTGTAAGAAAGATTTTTATAAAGTTAAAGGAGTTTATAGAATATGGTGAAACTAAGACCATGTGTTTGTGTGAGTGTGAGTGAGCACGTGAAGTCTGTCTATGCCACCGAATTCTGGGTCTATTTACATTTACTATACCAAACAAACTCTTTTAACCTACTTAGTCCCCTTAACCTATCACTTTATTCATGTTTTATTTAAGGTGTTTTCATTAGGCAGACTTGTATAATTGCATGGGATGTGTTTGTGAACTATCAACTCTGTTTTCTATGAACAAGATGCCAAGTTGTATGAAATGAAGTTTAAACTAAGGATTTATTACTTCCCATGTAGGAGGTCGAAGCGTAGGTGGGAGAATAATGTTAAAATTTATTTCAGAGAGGCATGGCATGTACAGAATTAATCTGGGTGAAAATGTGTTTGAATGTGGGGATGGACATCTGGGTTAAAAAAAATAGATAGAATATTTCTTGACTGTCTGAAACATCAGATGAACATGTCTGACATTTAATTTTGACATTTTTTTATGTTGTGGAGTGTCATAAAAATACCAAAACAGCTTTCCATTTTTCACAGTATCAGTCAGTAACCTACCCATTGAGAACTAAACAGGTTACCCGAAGCTGTAATGTGTCTGACCTATAGCTGGAAGAAAGTAGATTTTAATTTTTGCTGGAGCAATAGTTATCATCAGTAATATACCATATTTCCTGGTGCTGTTCAGTCTATCCAATTTACTGCTGGAATAGGACTATGATACCTTGAAATATACTTATGACCCCTTTCTTCGTAGTTCTTTGCCCTTCACCATTTGTAATTATCTCTCATCTTAGCTGACAAAAGTAATTTTTACATTTGATGCAACATTGTTAAATGGTATACAAGCAGATGTATTATCCATCGTTCAAGTCTGTTGATAGTAAAAATAATTGGGTAATACTTCCCTGGAATATGAAATTGTTCTGGAAAGAGAGATGTTTTATAATTGCTTTTCAGATTATTAATTCCAGGCATTGGCAACTTGTAACACAGAACTAGAAAGTTGCAACTTTCAATATAACAAAGTGTTTATTTACATTGAAAAGTTTTATATGACAATCAGGTGTATTAACAAGTGGAATTCAGTGAGTAGCTTGTTACATTCATTTCACAAGCATATACATATATAAATACTCGCAACATCCCTGACAATGAGCATCTTGCCATTCTTGATTTAATTATTCTAACAGATGACAATAACCATCACAAAATTGCAACATTCTTCAATGTCATAATTTGCATTGTTTCAACATGAACAGTGCAGCCCAGGCAAGTGAAGACAGCTTAGAACTTTCTTTGTAGCAAAGCTAGTAATGCTGTACTGTTGATTTTAGTGCTACATGGTAAGGAGGGGTGAAATCCTTTTGCATCCTTGAAGCATGTGGATTGGTAACAGCTGCTATAGATGATGAAGGTCATTATTCTTAACTTTCTCTGTTACCGTGTTACCTCATATTATGTTAGGAGCAGTTAGGTTGGTTTACTGTGAAGTGAACTAGGCAAGCTTGTGCCATGTTGGATGCTTTCATTTGCTCAGAAACATTGTAATTATTGGATCTCGTAATGCCAGGCAATAAACGATGAAACAGAAAAGTAAGCCAGTGGTAATTGTGTGTTAAATGTGTGGAATGCCTTATTTTTAAAGGCTTGGTATGTTACATACACAGAAATACTGCCCAGCTGTCCTTCAATATGGTGAAGACAAAGAAATTCATACTTGCAAAGCATTTTGTTGATGAACCAAAGGAAAGTGATTTACAGCTTGTTGAAGATGATTTGCCAGCCTTGAAGGACAGAGGTAATGTTTCAGTTTAATGTGTACTTGTTTCTAGTTTTATTTACAAATGTTTTGTTTTATTTTTATATCATGGATGTTTATTGCTGTGTAAAATGACCTGTTTATCTCTACTGAATTAATGACAAGTGGTTTCTTTTCTCTCTCCATTCTCCTTCCACTTTTGATGTTTAATTTATAAAACTATTATTTTGGGCACTGTATACTTGTACACATCCATTAGAACAGGCCAGCCATTATATGGGCATTGTGTAACAAGCCTGGCAAACCTAGTAGTATAGATATGTATTTGTGCTACAGGAGGGCTTGGGGTAGCTTAGTCAGTATAGTGACTAGCTATGAACTGGATGACCAGAGTTTGATCCCCGATGGGAGCAGAGGATTTTTCCTCTGGCCTCTGTGTCCAGATATTGGTGTTCTTTCCCGGGGTTAAATTGTGGCTGGTGTGTGTCACTGACCATTTACTCCATCTAGTGCCAAGGTTAAGAATGAGTAGGAGCTATACAACCT